CTATCTCCGACGGTTCCGAAGTTACGGCGTCGTCCGTAAACCCGTTCGCGGTCCAATGGTTTGAATCGCGCGAAAACGGTTTGAGTGCCCGCGAGTCCCAATGCCGGGACTGTTTCGACCGCTTTCGGACCGAAGTACAGGGGTAGGTTCGAGATCCGCGTCTACGATATTGCTTTCCGTCCGATGTGACACTTCAACTTTTCGAAATTCTCCCGTTCGGCCGGAATCGAAGTTATCGCTTCGGGACCTGGAAAATCGGATTTGTCGTACCGCGTTCGTCCATATATCGTGGAACCGAGCCGATAAGTCGATTATCCGGGGAGCGGCTAGTCCCAAGCCTGGGACTCCGATCTCAAGCCATTACCGGCGTCGCGCGAAAAAGTTTTGAGTGCCCATCGGGTCCCAAGCCCGGGACTGTTTCGACTCTGCCGTATTCTCGTCACGCGAAAAAGGTTTGACCACGTGACGGGTCCCGAACTCGGGACTGTTTCGACTCTGCCGTATTCTCGTCGCGCGAAAAAGGTTTGACACGTGACGGGTCCTGAACTCGGGACTGTTTCGACTCTGCCGTATTCCGGTCGCGCGAACAAGGTTTGAGTGCACGCGAGTCCCAATGCCGGTACATTTCGACCGCTTTCGGACCGAAGTACGGGGGTAGTTTCGGTATCGGCGCTTACGGTTTTGCTTTTCGTCCGTTGCGACACTTCGACTTTTCGAAATTCTCCCGTTCGGCCGGAATCGAAGTTATCGCTTCGGGACCTGGAAAATCGGATTTGTCGTGCCGCGTTCCACCATATATCGTGGAACCGAGCCGGTAAGTCGATTATCCCGGGAGCGGCGTGTCCCAAGCGTGGGACTCCGATCGCAATCCATGACCGGCACATAGGCCGGCGGGGCGGTGTAGCCGTATTTTAATTTCGACCGCCGCCGCGACGATGCACGGCCGCCCTGGGTCTCGCGAAAAAGGTTTGAGCGGTCGTCGGGTCCCGAGCCCGGGACTTTTTCGACTTTGAAATTTTTTTTTTCGACTTCTCGTACCGGCCGAACCGTTCGACGTACGACCGTGCGCATGAGGACCGAACACGATCGTCCGACCGTCCTCTACCTTTTGCACGAATAAAAACGAAACAGTCCCGGGCTTGGGACTCAAACCTTTTTCGCTCGATCCAAACCCCTCCGTAACTCGGGAACCGTCGGAGATAGAGCGTTGCTCGTGAGGGCCGAAAACGTTGCCCGTAACGTTTACCGACGGTCCGCGTGAAAAAAATACGCATTCGTCGGAATCGTAGCGGACGACGGTGGACCGGCGTCGCGCGAAAAAGGGTTGACCGCTCGTCGGGTCCCGAGCCCGGGACTGTTTCGACTTGACCTTTTTGTTCCTAACCACCGACCCTTTCGTCGTCGGGCTGTTTCTAAATAAAAATCGATTCAATGGATTTCGTTAAAACACTCGACTCGTCTCCGATTAACAATCCAAGTGGATTACCCGAAAAAAAAAAAAAATTTATATTCAAGTCCAGTGATGAGATAGGGACGCTTATACATCTATTTCATAGGAATTTTACAACAATTTTTATTTTCATTTTTCAATCTTTTTTTTTTATTTCAATCAAAATAAATGATAATAATAAAAACACAAATATTGTATTACCAATGATAAATTGAAACAGCAAATAACAATAATAAAAATTTCAAACAATTTCCAACAGAGCAACAATAATGTCAACAGTTTGACATTCACATGTTTACAGTTTTATATACATATTAATATTTACATTTATTTACAGGTTTTATTTATTAACAGTTCAATATTTACAATATTTACAATATTTACAATATTTACAATATGTACAGTTTTTTTCAAAATATTTACAGTTGCTGCTGCAGCGCGCTGTTCACGCGGCGCAACAACCTGGCCCTGGTGAACTCGTTCTTAGTCCACCAGGCGCACCCCAGATCGCGCGCCACGTGCGTCAACTGGACGACACCTAGGGGAGCCTTGTACCTCTCCCGCCGGCAGTGGCGGACGACTTCCCTGGCGATGGAGTCCGCCAAGTTCATCGTCCACCTTTCCAAGATGGTGCTGTAGGAGTTCCGGGTCAGCGTGGCGCCCGGGAACATTGTCTCCATATAATGCCTTTCGAGGAGCTGTGCCCGGAACTCCTCGTACGCCGGCGGCTTGGTCCTCGCGTCCCCCACGAAGAACATTTCCAGACTGCAAGTGAAACGAAAAAAATTATGATTAGTATACACGGCGCGAAAGATCCGTCGTCGTCGTCGTACTCGAACGACCGTAGCGCTACTCACTTTGCGCAGATGAACTCTTCCATTAATTTCGATTGCTCGACCGCGACCACCGCCTGGTGCTGACGGATGGCCGTGGTCGAGCTGTCCATCTGATAATGCCTTCGTGCGGTGTCTTCCGAGTGCTGCAGCGCCGCAGCAACATGGCCCGCCACCGCCGGTTCGTGGTCTACCGCCGACGTCTCTAGCTGCTTGCGCAGCCAGCCACCGGACACTTTGACTAAATCGCCGCCCGGGTACCGGATGTTCTTCTCCCGGATGGCGGCGTTTAGGAGGTCAAATATTTTGTTTACCTCGTGCCCGGTGTTGGTGACAAAGAAGTTGTCGACGGTCGCGTTTGCTATCTTGCGGCGTAACAAGTAGTAACTGAAACGAATAAATAAAAAAAAGATTAGCTTACGTCGTCGCGTTTGCGAACGGATAACGCGCGTGCACACTATACTTACCGGTCCACGAACTCGGCGGTAGCCGCATCGAGGACAACGGTGGCCGGCGTTTTGTCCCCGAGTTTGTGTTTGGCCACCCAGATGACGACCGTCCCCTCGTCATTCCTCTGGGCGGCCAGGTACTCCGCCATCATCAGGTGTTGGACCACCCCCACACGATGTTTGCCGTCGAACATGATGACGGCACACAGGGAGGTGGTCACTTGACGCCACAGCTTGGAGATCTGTTGAACAAAAACGAAATTGTAACCACACACGTGTCTCGTACGGATGACCAATGATCGCTTACCTCAACGTTCGTCTTCTTCCCGTCGACAACCCTCGCCGCTACGTCCACCTTGGCGGAGCACCTATTGAACTCCTCTTCGAGCGCGCCGAGCTTCTCCGACAGCTCGGCGCGCATGTTGGCGACCAACCCGTAGATGGCCGACATCTCCACGGTGTTCCTCGCCTCCTCCGTCTTCCTGTTGAAGATTTCCTGTGTTGAAATCTTCCCCGCGTCCTTGTAGTGGACGCTTAGCACGTTCATGCTGTACAGCATGCGGTCCACTAGTCCGGAGTCAGGCCCCACTCCGGACGGGTC